GTCCCAGACCCGGTGGCTTAAAACTCACGCCGGGCGCATGTGCGTGCGTGCCCAAGATCCCGAGAGGGGAATGGAGGAGAAGGGATTGTGGCGTGGCCATTCCCCCGGGGGGTGATTTCTCACTTTCTGTCTCTCTGTCTCTCTCTGTCTGTCTGATGAGCGCACGCACCCTGTAGCAAAAAAAACCTCTCAAAAAAAAAAAAAAAGAGGTGAGGGTATGACTCGAGTGCATCTCTAACTCGCATTCTGCAGCCCCACGGTTAGGTAAATCACTTCATTTTAAGCCCTAAGAAGACTTAAAGGAGCATGGGGCCAGCAGGTGGCATGGTAGTTAAGGTGCTGGACACTCCCACGTCGCTGACCACAGTTCGAGTCTCGGACCTGATGGCTTGCTTTCTCACTTTCTCTCTCCCTCTCTCTCCCTCTCTCTCTCTGCATCTCTCTCATCCAAGTGAATGAATGAATAAATAAAATGAAAATAATTCTTAAAAAAAAAGACTTGAAATAGCATAAAAACTGACCTCTTTAAAGTGTAGCTGGTGGGGGGTGGACCAACAGTTGGAGTAATGGCTATGTCTCTGGACTCCCTCGTAGTCAACTGCAGTTTGAGTCCTGGACCCAGTGGCTTAAACTCACACTAGGCGCATGTGTGCGCTTGTCCACCCAAGATCCCGAAAGGAGAATGAATGAAAAGGGATTGAGGCGTGGCCATCCTCCCTGGGGGGTGATTTCTTGCTTTCTGTCTTTCTGTCTGTTTCTGTCTTTCTGGCGAGCGCATGAGCTCTATAGCAACAACCTCTCAAAAAAAAAAAAAAATGTAGCTGGGCCTAGCCCTATACCCTAGTGGCTAAGGAGCTGGACCCCACATGGATCCACAGTTCAAATCCCGGTCTGGCCTGTGCATTCAGGCCCCCAATCCCGACACGTGGAGACAGGGAGGATGAGCGATTGCACCACGACCACACCCACTGGGAGGTGTTTTCTCCCTCTTCCTCTCTCTTTCTGTTTCTTTGTCTGTCTGGAGGACACACGCCTTGGCAATTAAAAAAATATATAGCTAGGAGAAAGAACCGTCTACATGAGTAATCATGGAAAACATAGTTACTAAACAACGCGCTGGCAAGAAACTAAGCAGACCAGTGGTTCCTAAACTCTTCTGTTAGTGCATCCTGTCAGTAAAAACACACTCTCCAATATAAGTATATGTATTACCAATTACATATGTGTGTCACTATTCAGATACATACATTTTTTTTTTGAGAGAGAGATTTTCGCTATAGGGTGCGTGCACTCGCCAGACAGACAGAAAGAGACATTAGAGACAGAGAGCGAGAAATCACCCCCCAGGGGGGATGGTCACGCCGCAATCCCTTCTCCTCTATTCTCCTCTCAGGATCTTGGGCACGCACGCACACGCGCCCGGCGTGAGTTTTAAGCCACCGGGTCCGGGACGTGAACCGCGGCCGACTACGTGGGAGTCCAGCGACACAGCCATTACGCTAACTGCTGGTTCCCAGATACATACATTTTTAAACCTACACAAAACACTGGATTTTCGTGTTTAACTGCTAATGGGAGCATATGCTTGCCAGAGAAAGAGGGACGGAGGAAGAGAAAGAGGAAGAAGGAGGGGAGAGAGCTCCCCAGGGGACATGGTCACCCTGCAGTCCCGCCTCTTCCATTCCTCCATCTTCATGGGACTTGGGACACGCATGCGCAGGTGCCTGGTGTGTTTTTCAAGCCACCAGGCCAGAGTTCAAACCGTGTGGTTGGCCGCGTGGAGTCTGGTTCCCCTAGCCACTGGGCCATGGGGCTGGCCCAGAAGATATTACAATTTTAAAAGCAGATGATTAAGTATCACACGACTGATTTAATTTAAATTAAAATGATTTAACGGGAGGACCAGTATTTTTCTGCCATGTCCCTGTGGATGATCTTATCAGCCCTCCATGGAGACCACTTGAGTCTTGTTCACCTTTGGGGTCCCCGGCACCCAGCACACGCCCATGCATAGTAGGAGCCTGACACATGGTTGGGCCCCAGAAGTATTTCAGGGCCGACTCAGCAGCGGCACAGTGAGGTGCTGCTCAGCCATGAGGGGTCCGTATGGAAGGTGGCAGGTCCAGGCCCCTGGCTGGCCTGGGCTGGAGTGTTCCCACGATCCCGGCTGGCACAGGGGGGTCACAGTATGAGATCCCACTGAGGGTCTGGCCTTTCTCTCTCATTCTCGTGAAAGAAATAAGCTTAAATTTTTAGAAAAAAGAAAAATCCAGGCCAGTAGGTGGCATGGTACCGGATTCCACATGGTCAACTCCAATTTGAGTCCTGGACCTGGTAGCTTGAAAAACATGCCTGGCATGTGTGCGTTTGTGCCCCAGATCCTGAAAGTAGAGGAGAAGGGGTGGTCGCGTGGCTACCCTCCTGGGGAGTGAGTTCTCACTTCTCCTTCCTCTTTTCTCTGGCAGCAAGAGAGAAAAACGCCCTGTGGCAAAAATCTAAAAAAAGAAGAAAAGAAGAAGAGAGAAAGAGAAACAAAGAAAGAAGAAAGAGAAAGAGAGAAAGACAGACAAACCATAACATAAATTGAATTCATCATATTTGCATGGCATGAACATAATCTATGAAGACTTTTTTTTTTTTTGAGAGGTTTTTACTATAGGGCGCGTGTGCTCGCCAGAAAGACAGAGAGAGACAGAGAGACAGAGAGTGATAAGTCATCCCCCCAGGGGGGGTGGCCACGCCACAATCCCTTCTCCTCCATTCTCCTTTCAGGATCTTGGGCACACACGCACATGCGCCTGGCATGAGTTTAAGCCACCGGGTCCGGGACTCGAACCGCAGTGAACTACATGAGAGTCCAGCGACATAGCCATTACGCCAACTGCTGGTCCCCAAAGACTTCTTGAAGGAAGCAGGCTGCGAGCGGGACTCTGAGGAAGGGAAGGAGACAGAGAGACCGCACAGAAAGCCCCTCTGCACAGAGGCTCCTGGTTTCTGACCCTGTCCACCATCATGTTGGCGCTGCTCTTGAAGGTGTGGAAATTGTCTTCCGACACACTCTGCGAGGCATCCAGGAGCAGGTAGAGGTTCAAGTGACCGGAGCGCTGGATTTGGATTCTCCGGCCCAGGTTTTCTGGAAAAAATGTGAAAAGGAGGATGTAAATGGCCCCTCCGTCCTGTGCTCTTGCCACAGGTCAGAGCTCCCTGCCTCCCCTCCAGGCACTGAGCCCCCGGGGCTCCTGACCCGCTCTGCCACAAGCCTGGCTTGCTACTGCCGTGCCTGAACACTCACCCTTCTTCTTCTGGGTGGGATTGGTGACTCCAACCAGGTGGGACAGGGACGTGCCCAGGGCAGGCGCCACATCCTCAGGGAAATCATAAGAGTAGGGCTCTGTGGAAAGAGCCGTGGGGTCAGCCGGGGCCAGGACTCGAGGTGCCCAGGAGTCTGGGCAGGGCGGGGTGGCACTCACGGCGGCAGATGGGCTCCGTCCCACTCCAGACGCCGTTGCTCTGGCACTCTCGCTCCACAGACCCCGTCAGCACCAGGTTTGAGGAGCAGAGGTAGCTGACCTTGTCCCCAAGGCCAAAGCGGGAGCCTGTCCGCACTGCACCCGGTGACGTGCCTGGGTTGGGGCAGTGGCCGGCTGCAAACGAATGAAAGAAAACAGAGGTGAGGAGTGAGGGTGCCTGGGCCTCTCCCTTGGGAGACACCAGAGTGTGCTTCTCGAGGCCCTGAGGTGGAGTGAAGCATTTAGAACTCGGCAGCCTCAGTTGGCCGCTGAAGCTTTCCAATCCCAAACTAGGAACGCACTCCATGTCTGTCCCAAGGAAGATGTTGGCCGATGAGCCCTGCCCTGCATGAACACCTGCACGTGGTAAAGCACAATGAGACATCACTACCTATCCCCAGGATGACTGACACTGAAGCTTTCCAATCCCAAACCAGGAGTGCACTCCATGTCCGTCCCAAGGAAGATGTTGACCAATGAGCCCTATCCATTATAAATACCTGAACATTGTAAAGCACAATGAGACATCACTACCCATCCCCAGGATGGCTGGCACTGAAGCGACAGGTACTGCCAAGTGTTGGGGAGAATGTGGAGCAACGGGATCTCTGCTAGGCTGCTGGACTGTCCCCCATGAACCCACAGGTCAGCCTCCGCACTAGCTAAACGTGCCCGCCTGTGATCCATCGAGCCAACACTTAGAGCATTTACTCAAGAGAAGCAAGTGCACATGTGCACCAAAAGGCACGTGTGAGAAAGTGCCTAGAGTTTTAGTCACATCAGTTCCAAACTGGAGATAACCCAAATGCCCACGGACAGGAGAATGGATAACGAATCTGTTCATAGAATGGAATACTACACAGCCAGAAAAAGGAATGGACTATGCCCCACCCAACTGCATGGCTAAATCTCAGACAGAACATCGAAAGAAGGACGCCAGAGGCAAGCGAGCACATCCTGCATGATTCCGTTCACCTCATACACCACATGAGATGGAGAAGCAGACAGAACTCGTCTACGGAGGCCGAAGTCAGAAGGCTGGTTACCACAGGGAGGGCCTAGAGGAAGCCCTGCACTGTTGGGTGTGTCCTGTCGTGGGTGGTGATTATATAAGTGAATATGAGTCCAAAATGTCACCAAGTTAAAGTCTATGACTTACACACTGCTCTGTAGGGGGATCATCCTTTCAAATTTTTGAGAGGTTTTTGCCATAGGGTATGTGTGCTCGCCAGACAGAGAGAGACAGAGAGACAAAAAGCGAGAAATCACCCCCTGGGGGGATGGCCATGCCGCAATCCCTTCTCTTCCATTCTCCTCTCGGGATCTTGGGCACGTACGCACACGCACCCAGCATCAGTTTAAGCTACTGGGTCCGGGACTTGAACTGCAGTCAACTACGTGGGAGTCCAGCAACATAGCCATTATACCAACTGTTGGTCCCCATCCTTTCATTTTTAAATATATTATATTTTTGTTGGAATAAAGGGTTCTTCAGCAAAGACCCAGGGGCATGAGTAGGGAGCCGTCCACTGGGCCGCTGGGTAAGGGGACGTCCCTGCCACCTTGGTTCTGTCTCCGTAGTATGTGTTCAGAACCATGAGCCAGAAAACTCCCAGAACCCACAGGCAAATGTACCCCCAGGGAACCCTGAGAGGTCGGCCTCTGCCAAGCAGTCCTCCTTGCCATTCACTAGGGCTGGAGTAACCAGACCGAAATGTGCGTGGCATTTGCAGTTCTAGAGGCTTACTGATAGCAACTCATCTACTGGGTTGTCGGGGAAGTCGTGACACATTTTTACTTAGAAAAATCATAGAAAACTGCATCACGGCTTTACCAACAGCCTAATACGTGGCAACCCCACGAGGAGTGACTAGCTCCGTAATACAGTAAAAACTGAACAAACGGAGTTTAGAAACCGGGCCAAGGGCCAGCAGTTAGCGTAATGGCTATGTCGCTGGACTCCCACGTAGTCGACCATGGTTCGAGTCCTGGACCCGGTGGCTTAAAACTCACGTCGGGCGCGTGTGCGTGCGTGCCCAAGATCCCGAGAGGAGAATGGAGGAGAAGGGATTGCGGCGTGGCCATCCCCCCAGGGAGTGATTTCTCTCTTTCTGTCTCTCTGTCTTTCTGGCGAGCGCATGAGCCCTATAGCAAAAACCTCTCCAAAAAAAGAAAAAAAAAACAAAACACACACACAATCCTAGGCTCTCCCGACATCCCTTCCCTGCAATGATGCGTGGAACCCAATCCACAGTCTTACGCTGAGGCGTTAGAAAAGCTGAAGAGTGTAGAGTGAGCTCAGCACCTGCCCAGGACCAGCGACTGTGACCGGAATTTTCCAGAATTCGGAGCAGGACGCCATGCTCCTGTCCCTGCGGAGGCTCTCTACGCACACGTTGTTTTCAGGGGTCCCTGGTTGAGCGCAGCCTCCCTGCAGCTCTGAGTCAGGGCACTCACCCCCATTGTCGCACACGGCTGTCTCTCCGTCCCACAGGCCATTGGGGCGACACTGTCGCACGGCCGAACCCCGCAGCGTGAAACCGTCCTCACACTCGAAGCTTACGTTGCTACCCACAGAGTGGGCCACCAGCCGTGGGCTGTACATGCCGTTCTCCAAGGAGCCGGGGGCTGGACAGCGGACAGCTGGAGGGACAGAGAGAGGGGAGGAGGGAGATGAGGACAGGCGGGTTATACCTGAGCTGGGCATTTCTGCCGGGCGTGTGGGAACGACCCACAGGTTGTCAAAACACTGAATCACCGGGTCGAAGCTTTGACATTTTGGGGACCTTGAATATGGGCGATTTCACACAGTCCCCCCAGCCCCAGCCCCACCCCCAGCCCCTCCTCCGGGGACCCTCAGATGTCCAGGAGACTCGAGGACCACGCACCGT